GGGCGGCTTCGCCTTCTGTGAGCAGGGAGCGTATTCTTTTCTTCTTTGGCCCGATTCGAGTGCCGTGGACTGTTGGGAGTGGTCTTCTTTCTCTTCTCCTCTATTCTCTACCTATAAACACAGTTTCTTTTGAGATTTTTGGGGTTGTTGAAGAAAAATTTGCAAGAGAGGTGAAGTAGAAATTTTGGCTGTGAAGGGATTGGAAACGGAATTTCGGTGAGAACATTTCTTTGAGGTGAATTCTTGTGTTGCAGTGCTTTACTTTGGCATTATAGAGGTACCCCTTCTGTCCCCCTCTTCTTCGGTGTCCTGTTTCCTTTTGGTTTTCCTCTCTGCTGAGCCTTTGAGCTTAGCTCTGTTGGATGATACAACATGCTAATTTATTTTACTTTGACATATTATTGAGATATTCACTTCAGATGCATTTAAAAATGGAAATGTGGGCATGTCCTAAGAGCTAAACTTGGTTACTTGCTTAAACTTGGTTACTTGCTTAAACTTACTTGCTTAAACTAGGGAGACTATGACATCTTTATGATTATTGTGGCATGTTTAGGTTGGAAACACTTAGGAGGTTAAGACATGACTTTGGAATAATTTTTGCTTTTCTTGCAAGCATGTTAGGATGAGTATTATGAAACTTTTCACTTATTTTCATTTAGCATGATATATTGGAGAAGTTTTTTGGCCTTGCATGAATGCTAGGGAGTTCATTTTACTGTTTTATGCATGTTTGGTGGCTCGGTTTTGGCTTCCTGTGGCTTCCCCTGACTTGAAATGTATGCTATGAGAAAATTTATTCAACTTGGAAAGTGTTGTAGCTTATTTTGAGGGTTTGGTTTAGCTCCTCGTGAATTTCCTCCCCTGTTCAAATATTTGTTTGAATAATTTCATGCTTGGGATGTTTAGACATGCAGGTTGTTCTTTGGGCTTGAAATGGCTAGATCTTTAATGTCGTATGGCTTGGTTTTAGTCCCTGCTGGGCTCGGTTTTGGCTAGGTTTGGAAGCTTGGTTTTGGTTTGAAATGACTAGAACTTTAATTTTTATGAAATCCTGAAGTTTCATATTGCTGGGCTTGGTTTTAATCTTGTTGGGCCCGGTTTTGGCTTTTAGTCCCAGCTGGGCTCGACTTTGGCTTGATTTGGAGTCACGGTTTTGGGTTTAAAATGGTTGAATCTTTAATGCTTTATGAGAGTCTGGATTTTAATATTGTTTGGGCTCGGTTTTGGGCCTTGAATGACTCGGTTTGGTTTTAGTTAGGGGCTGTGTTTGTTTTGTTTGGCCTCTGCTGGGCTCGGTTTGGTTTTAGTTAGGGGCTGTGTTTGTTTTGTTTGGCCTCTGCTGGGCTCGGTTTGGTTTTAGTTAGGGGCTGTGTTTGTTTTGTTTGGCCCCTGCTGGGCTCGGTTTGGCTTTAGTTGGGGGGGGGGGGGGGCTTTGTTTGGGCTTTGTTTGACCCTTACCCAAGGGATGATTTGGAGGTGTTTTTGCTGTCTTTGGTCCCTACCTGAGAGATGACTTGGTTCTTTTTGATTCTTGGTGGTTTCGGCTCTTACCCGAGAACCTGTTTTGGATGTGCTGTGTTGTCTCCATTCGAAGGCTGATATTTGATTTTGATGGATTGATTTGGCAGTTTATGAGGCCGCAATGTGATGTTTGCTTGGTGCCTAGTCGTGGGTTTGTGATGTGATTGAATCAGCCTCCCCTTTTGGTCCTTACCCGTGAGGCCTATTGTAGGTTATTGGGTGTGATTTGGTCGTTCTTGCTAAGCTTGATTGGCTTGAATGTTGTGGATGAATCAAGTTTGTCATCCCAAAAATTATAATTACTTTAGTTATCCTTTCGTGTTTGTCAAGGAAGCATAGTCGCCTTTAGTGGTCCTTTTGTTTGCTTTAGACGTGAGCCCCTTTGTGCTCTGGGTGGCTGTAGTCGTGGGCCTTACTTGTGCTTTGGATGGCCTCTGGTCGTGGGCTTTTGCAGCTGCTCTTTGCTGCCTTAAATCGTGAGCTTTAATAGTTCTTTTCGGGGCCTTTTGTTGCCTTAATTGTAAGCCTTACTTGTTGTCTTTTAGACTGCCTTTGGTTATGGTCTGGGTAGCTGTTCCTCGCTCTAGCCGTGAACCCCTTTTGTCCCCGTTCCTGGCTTTGGCCGAGAGCCTTGTTGGTTGTTTCCTCTTCTCTGCTGACCCTGGCCGTGAGTATTTATGTGGTTTTATGGACAAATTTTGTGCTTATTTAATGCATGAGGTTATCTACTAATTTGAAAGTCGGAGAATTTTGATTTCGTTATAAGTTTGAAAATATTAATGGTGGTTTCCCCGAGGTCACTTTCTTTTGAAGTTTGGGAGATTTTAAACCTCATCTTGGAAAAACACTTGGTGGACTTGATCAATCCTATGTCTTTGGGGTTTGGGAAAATTAGCGCGAAGTGACCATTTATGTTTGTTAGGAAAGACCTTGGGCCCTACTTTTCCAGGTCTTTTCGATACGAGTTTTTGAGAACTGATCCAATCTCCTTTTCGTCCATATTTTTGTTCTTTTCTTTCCTTGCTTCTTGGTTCGATTTTCGATACTTATGCCTGATGCATAAGTGTCCACGTATAGCCTTTTGCTATACGTGAAACCATCAAGCAAGGTCGCAAGTAGTCGTTTTGGGGCGTACGGTGTTGATGATAAAGACACACCGAAGATAGAGCAGAAAGATGCCCAGGATTATGAAGTCGTTTTGGAGGGTTGTCGGATAAAATGAGGAAGCGTGAAATGACTTTTTTTGCACATGTAAGATAGAAATATTGTGAAAACACCAATATATGCATGGTAGAGCTAATTTGTTAGGATTATGAAGGAGGTCTATCAGGTTAGCAGTTTTTATTGGAAAAGTTAGCTCAACTGAAGTAATAAGAGAAATGTAGTCTTAACATAAAGATGCAAATTTAAACCTCTTGTGCTGTGCTGCAGAGGCGTGAGAATTTTGGAAGTTGAGAGTGCTCTGAAATATTAAAAAAAAAAACATCTTTTGAAATGACATTAAACTGAAAAATAAATCTAGCTGTTCCCCAAAATTCTTACTAAGTTCATTTACTCTTCAAAAATATATTTCTTCTCGAGTAAATCTGTTTTTTATTTTTAGTGCAAAGGAAAGATATGGTGGTTCTTGATTGTGCACTGCAATGTGTCCTCATGCAAGCATAATTTTACTCATATCAACTGTGATTTCTTGTTCATCTCAACACAGGCACATGGTACTATGATATGCCAAGTCATATGGAACTTGATAAATGCTATTTTATTACTTTAAGTCTTATAATTTAAGCTTCTTTTGCACTTAAATTTTAATTATATCTTGCAGTTTAAATGTTTTGGTTAATTTGTATGTTGTGAGGATTTTAGGAACGTTTTTTCGTAAACTAAATTCTGCGTAATTGCTTGTAACTATCAGGTTCATTCAAAATCAAGTCCAGCATCAGTGTCTTTATCTGAATATTCTAGAACTATTAAAGAAGAAGAAAGTTCTTTCGAGTTTTTATCAGATGATTATCTGGATGAGAAGGTGATTATCTTGCTTCCAACATTTATTTGTTTTTTCTTTATTCTCGGTGATTATTATTTATCGTGTCACTTCCAACTATTTGTTACATTGTTGTGAAGGAGTGGAGGAGAAAATATTATGTTCGGAGTTTTGATGTAGATTTACGTACGGTCTCTAATAGCGTTAAGACACGGGACCATTCAATTGGACCCATATATGATATCATAAAAAGGTATATTTAGTGATGCCCGGATCCGACCTGATACGAGCTCGAAATAAGGAAAAATAATCTATTCAAATACCCGTGCACGCACATGCCCGTCTTCGTTTCCTTTTTATCACTTAGGGTTTTCTGTTTAGGATTTTCCGATTATGTTCTTTCAGTTTCCGAAGGAGTAGCAGAGCAATCGTTAAGGTACTTCAATCAATCTTTTATAAAGATTTCCAACGAGCTTATAGTTTTCTGCTAAACTCAGGGAGTTGTTTCTTTCACAGGATTTAGGATTTTCCAGTGGCAGCTAAGCGATATTGGAGAAGCGAACCAAAAAAATAAAAAAGAGAAAATGAAGGCAAGAAAAAAAAAACAATAAAAAACAAAATAGGTAACTAATATGATGTGCAGATGAGCGTATTGATTGAATTTTCATATTTAAAGCTTATGTAGTATTTTTTTTTTTGTAGTTTGAATCAATATATGCTGATATTATAAGTTTAATTGTTCAATTCACTATTATTTTATTCAATTCCTCTCGACGAAACAAAATTAGTGTCAAATGGTGCATTATATAATATTCATCTTTGCATCATATATAATCATAGTTTATTGTTAAGAATAATTTATTTGATATGATAAGCCTTAGTTGTTTCATATAATAATGTTTTATTTATTTATTTATTTTTTGTGATAAAACTTAATGAGTGTACGGATGATGTATAGATGAGTATATCGGTCCTTATCTCTTGTTTCATTAATTTGTAATTATGTTTTATTATTGTAAATAATGCATTTTAATGTGATAATTTTTGTTTGATTCATTTTTTTTTTATTTAAATCGTCTAGACAAAATAGAATGGGTGTGCAGATGAGTGTATTACATGATTACCTGTGTTTAGATAATATGTAATCATGTTTTATTATTCAAAATAATGTATTTGTTGTGACATATTTTTTTGTTCAATGTATTATAGTTTTATTCAATTTCTCTTGATAAATTAAAATTGATGTAGAGGTGGGTGTATTGATTCACATCTCATATTTTAAATAATATGTAATGATGTTTTATAATTGAAAAAAATAATTTTTGAAGTGATAAACTTCATTTATTTCATGTTTTTATTATTTATTCAATTTTTTTTGGCAAAGTAGAATGGTTTTACAAATGTATTTTTATGATTACTTATGTTTAAACAATATGTAATCATGTTTAATTATTAAAAAAATATATTTGAATGTGATAAGCTTTATTTGTTCAATATTTTGTTTATATAACTTTTTTTTTATAAAATAGAATAAGTGCACAGATGAGTGTTTTGTACAATAATTCTTGTTTAAAATATGTTTAACCATATTTTATTGTTGGAAAGAATCTATTTTGATACAATAAGCTTTGTTTGTTTCATGTACTGATATTTTATTCTTTTCAAAATAGAATGAGTGTGCAGATGATGTATTGCTTCATCTCATGTCTAAATAATATGTAATCATATTTTATTATTGAAATAATGTATTTTGATTTGATCAGTTTCATTTTGTTTTTTTTTGTTTATTCAATTACTCCTTGCAAATTAGATTGTGTCTATAGGTGGATGTACATATGAATGTCATGATTACTCATGTTTAAACCATATGTAATCATTTTTTGTTGTTGGAAAATTCTTCATTTATCCCATTTATTTTTATATTATTCAATTTCAAAAGTTAGTATTTAGGTCAGATTTCATTTACTATTACTTACAAGTAGGTTCACTTAATATTGGCTGTTTTTTTGTAGGGAAATGACTTCAAAATGATTTCCAGTAGATGTAGGCCTTCAACAATCAGTATTGTATGTGATTCTATTATTCAACACTTGAATGAAGAAATTATGAAATTTATAAAAGATTTAAATATATATTATTTTATTAAGATGTCTGCATACCGTAGATTCCGAGTTGTTGGTATATTAAAGATAAGGACTTTAATATTGATGAGAAATATTTAAGCTTCACTATCAACTCAGTTTCTTTGATTATATGTATGCCCTACAGAGGTGAAGTTATATCAGAGATGTTTTCTTTATGAAGTATTAGTTCAATACAAATGAAAAATAAAATGAAGAAGGTTGATTTTGTGAGGTCCGTCGCCACCTTTCCCAAAATGTATTTAATGTTATTGTTGTCAAACTTTTTCTTTTCATCAAATAATTACACTGGTCAAGTCGTCTCTGCAATTATGTTGAGAATGTATTTTGATTCTTTTCATACAATTGACTAAATGCACTATTTAATTTGTTTGTTGATCAAATTCATGTAGTCACTCAAAAAATAAGACAAAAACTGTCACTTGGATATATGATTGGCTCTGTCGCTCTCTTAAAGATTAGAATGTGATATATATCAATCAACTTATATTTTTTTAGACATCTAATCTAACATTTATTTTACAGATAGGGTTTTTTGAACATACTTCAATTCTGGCTCTCATCTTATCTGATGTAATGACTCATTTGATGAGATGGTCAAAATTGGAACATGTAGCACAAAATCATTTGTTAATTCATTTTCTAAATTACAAGCATAATTTATAACAAAACATGTCAATAATTTATGCAATAATTAAATTACATTATATTTTCATGCAAAACATGCTAATTGATTGATTGATTAGGCATAATAGATAAAGAACTACTTCAGCTTGCTTTTGCAACTTGTGATCTCCAAGTTTGAGTTGCAGTCCTCGTACTCTCCAATCTACAAACACTTTATCCCAAAATTTATCTCCTACATATTGTATTGTAGTGAACCATCTATTTTTGCATGTTTTTCGTCACTAGCAACTTTTGAAACACACAAAAGCATTGCACAAATTATTCATTTTATTAAAAGCTTTCAGATGAAATTTTTTGAAATCGATGCCTCAATGTATAGTAAAATAAGTGAGCTAGATGCGAGATTAAAAATGCCGAAAAAAATCTATTTACAAATATTTATTGAGCATTATTGTACGAGGGGTGAAGGCAAGACAAGTTAGAAAAAAAAATCATTCAGACTTCCAATACTTAGTTTATGAATTTAAGAAAATGAGAAAAAATAGTCCTCTGAAGTTAAACAAATAGAACATATGTAACCTATCCTTTCCTCACCAGGCTTAGCTTCAACCCATACATTCTTCTCTTTAATGGCTTTAACATTAGTGGACTTTATTTTTCTCATTTTCTTGAACTCATAAACAGTGTACTCAGAGCCTAAATGACTTTTTTTTAGCTTGCCATGCTTTGCCTTCACTCCTCGTAAATTGCTTCTCAATAAAGATTTGAAAATTGATTTTTTTTTTGTGGCATTCCATCAATAATCTTTAATCTCACATGTAACTCTCTTATTTTACTCCACGAGGAAGCTTCAAAATTCAAAGAATTTATTCACAACTTTCAAAGAAATAAATAATTTATGTACTGTTTTTGTGTGTTTTAAAAGTTATTGATGATGAAAGACGTATATAAATAGCTGGTTCACTAAAATATGTAGTGGGAAGTGTTTGGGTGAGCTGTTAGCAGAATTGAGAGTACAAGAACGAGCTAGACTTGGAGCATCGCAAATTGTAGGAGCAAGTAGAAATAGCTCTTTATTTGTTATGTCCTTGAAAGTATCAGAAATCTACCGTAACTAGTTAATCAATTAACATGGTATGCATCTAAATGTAATGTAATTATTGTATAAATTATTGATATGTTTTGTTACCTGTTCTACATGTAATTTAGAAAATAAATTAATACTTGATTTTAGGCTCTATATTTCAGATTTCGATCACTTCATCATACAAGATTTTGCATCAGGTAAGTTTGGAGTTAGAATAAAAATATGCTTATAAAATCATATCCGCAAGAAAGAAAAAATGTAATTTAGAAAATAAATTAATACATGATTTTAGGCTCTATATTTCAGATTTCGATCACCTCATCATACAAGATTTTGCATAAGGTAAGTTTGGAGTTAAAATAAAAATATGCTTATAAAATCATATCTGCAAAAAAGAAAAAATATGTTAGATTAAATCTCTAAAAAAATATAAGCTAGTTAATATATAGCACGTTAATCATTAGCATATTGCTAAAACCACTTATATATCCAAGTGAGTTTTGTCTTATTTTTCAAGTGACTACATGAATTTGATTGACAAGCAAATTATATAAGTCGTATTGTCAATTTTATGAAGATGATCTATGTATAGTTTTAGCTAGTAATAGATACCATTTTACATAATGTAATTGTTGGATAGGTAGAACAAGTTTGACAACAAAAAATTTAGGTATAATTTGAGAAAACTTGAAGCAGACTCCCAAAATTTACCTTCATTGTTTTATTCTTCAGTTGTATTTGCCTAATATCTGATAGTGGAGACTTCTCTCATATAACAACTTCACTTATGTTGGACATGCCTATAATCAAGATAATTTAGTCGGAAGTGAAGCTAAGTATTTTTTACCAATATTAAAAACTCTCATCTCAATGTCCTAGCAACTCAGAATCTGTATTATAAGAGTATTTTTTTTGTTAATATACAAGCATTTTATAAAATTGGTATATGCTTAATTTTTTGTAAGGTATATACTTTCTTCAATCATGTGCTAAATGAAATCACACACAACTCTAACTGTTGAATACCTGTATTTATACGTAATTATTCTTGAAGCCATTTCTCTACAAAAAGAGTAATATTAAGTGAACATGAGTGATAGTGAAATACGGTTTCTAATTTGCTAAGAAGAATTAAATAAACTATAAAACATAGAACAAATGAATTTTTATCACATCAATATATATTATTTTTAATAATAAAATGTGATGATATATTGTTTAAACATGAGATATGAATCAATATACTCATATGTACTTTCATTTTTATTTGACAAAAAATTTTGAATAAAATAACAATACATGAAACAAATAAAGCTTATCATGACAAAATTTATTATTTTTCAACGATAAAATATGATTACATATTATTTAAACATGAGTAATCAGACAAGACACCCATTTGTACACTAATTCTATTTTGCATAGAGTACTTGAATAAACAGTAAAACATTTAACAAATGAAGCATACATCATTTTCGATGATAAAACACGTTTACATATGGTTTAAACAAAAAATATAGACCGATAGACCCATTTTGTTTTGTCCAAAAATAAATAAAATAGTAAGACATGGAATAAATAAAGCTTATAATATGACAGATTGTTCTTAACAATAAAACATGATTATATATGATTTAAGCATGAGTAATCATCTAATACACCCATTTGTACACCCATTTTATTTTGTCGAGTGGAGTTCAGTGAAATAGTAATAAATTGAATAAATTAAGCTTCTAATATCAAAATTCATTAATTCAAACTACAAAACATGATTATATATGTTTTAAACATGATAAATCAATCAATACACCAATTTTTATGCTTCTTTTTTGCATATTTATCTTGAAATTATTTTGTTATTTGTTGTTTGGCTTTTTGCCTTTATTTCTTTTTTTTTTTTTTTTAGTTTGCTTGGTTCGCTTCTCAAATGTCCCTTAAAATATCTTGCGTTGCCTTTTCATCAAACCAAACAACCCCCAACTGTCTTCTAAATGCTTATTCACAATTTTGTTTTTCAAGAATTTATAGTTTAATCTAATTTTTGGTGTTAGTAAAAAGTGGAGTTGGATTACAATTTAATTATATCAACTTTGATTTCCATTCACCACTTTTTCTCGCTCCTTAAACCTAACATCTTCATTTATAATATTTTTCATTTTCTTATATTCATTGATCTGTATGGACGGATAATTTTTGAATCAAAATTGCTATCATTTATCCCAGTTGTATTCAATTCGACTACTTGATTGATGTTTTATTGCATAGTCATTAACAGCCTTTATTATTGGTGGAATGTTGTTTTACCTCTTTATCTTGCAGTTTCTTTCCAGTTTTTTTGCCATGGTCATTATTGTTTTATTTGGCTGAATTTTTTATGAGCCATGTTTGTTGGATATGTCCATTTTGATTTGTTTCATTTTAATTGCGCCATTCTAATAATTTTCACAGGATGATGATTCCGACTCACATATTGATATGGAGAAGAGATCTTATTTATTGATGATGGATTTTACACAGAAAGAGATAGATTTGGCTATAACTCGCCTAGGTATACAACACTTTTCTTTGAGCTTCTGTGGCTTTTTTTAAAGGAAAAAAAATTTCATCATGGTTTAGGACAAAAATGGTCATTAGATTTCTTTCCATATGAATTTAAAAGCAAGTGTCTATTTAGTTTTTGACACGTTTTAATTAGAAAGCGAGGACACGTTATTCCTTGTCTTATTGGTCTAAAGTATTTTTAGTTAAGCATTGAAGATCCTATATAGATCCTATATATATTAAGATGATTACTCATGTGCAACCGTTATTCATTGTCTTATTGATATAGCAGCAAAGTGTGCAACTGTGATTGTTCTTTTGAGGGGTTTGTCATTGTCATTAGATAGGGGCGAAAGAGGGAACGATGATGTCCTTGCACAACTTCCTCACGGTTTCGTCGATGTTGTTCTCGAGTAAGCACGGAAAAAGGAAAAACAATGACTCTGGTCGAAACTTCTGCACGGTTTCGCCGTCGAAGGCTCTGGATTTGCTTCCACATCAACAACCTTGTTAGGCTTATCACGACATCAAGGACTTCGGTTCTTCTGTGTCAGATTTTTCTTCTACAGGTTTCTTTGTCGATGGATCCTTCTCTGTCAACTTCTCCTCTAATCTACTCTTAAGCAACAAATTAGCTTGCAACCAAAATTGACTTGTGGTTTTGTCTCATTCTCTTCTCTTCTCTAATGATGTTGTAGAAGTTAATGATGACTGGCTCTCAAAGAAATCCTATCTTTTCTATTAGTTCCAGTAGTTTCAAAACCTCTTCACCTTATCCATGGTAGTGGAAGCATTACCAAAAATCATGGCATATGAAGGAGAAACGTTTGAAGCTTTATGGTAAACCTTTGAATGAGAAATCAAAATTCAAATGAGAAGATGGGCACTGTCGAGAAAACTAATGAGCCTTCTACAAACTTGGATGCAAACCCTAACCATTTCACCAAGGAATAACTAGAGCACCTGAAAATATTATTTCAACTTCTAAAATTATCCAGCTCCATCTTACTTATTAGTAAAAAAAGAGTAATTCTCTAGCTACCGTGTTAAGTGTTATTCCTAATTCTATTCATTTTTGGACAATTTATTTTGGTACAACTGATCATATGGCTGGTTGCTCTAAATTTTTTTTTCTTACAGACCTTGTGTAGACAAAAAAAAAATGTTAAGATTGCTTATTGTTCCCTTTTAGTAATTATCGGGATAAGAACTGTCAGACTACTCTGCTGTTTAAGGTTGTCAAGAAAGTTTGTTGCTCTCGAACGGCTTATGTTCGGCTTGTTAATTAGCTATTATTCGATTCGTTTGTTAAGCAAACGAGCCGAACACAAATATTTTTTTCGAGTTCGATTTAAAATTGAGTCGAACATGAGCAAAATTTTGTTCGTTTATGGTCGGCCCATTTTGACTTGAAATAATTTAATAATTAATAATAATATTTATTTATATTCTTTTTATATTAATTTTTATATGTATTTAAAAATGTTTAATTTTATTATTTTTAAAATTATTTGGGTGGTATATTTATAAACATATAAGTTTAGGTGTTAGATATATAAATACATAGAATTTGGGTTGTAGTTATGTAAATGCCCCAAAAACAACTCTAAGGGGTCGTTTGGTTGAGTGAATTAGTGATGTATTGTAAATACTTTGTAAGGTTTGAGAAAATTCTGTGTTTGGTATAAAAATTTACAAATATAATGTAGGTTCAATGCATTTGACGTAGTTCATTTTAGCTGAATTTTGATTCGACCAAATTTTGAATTGGATCATTCATCTAAAATGTTATAGGCAAGCCGTCGCCGCCGCCACCGCCACCTCATGCCCATCGCTGCCACCTGCTTGCCACTGCCGCTCGCTGTCGCCGCTGCTTGCCTGTCGCTTTTGCGCACCGCCGCCCCGCTTTCCTGCTCGCTAGCTACCGACATCGCCTCCCTCCACCGTCACTACCTCCACATTCGTCGTTGATGACTTCTGCCAAGTGTTGGGTACATTTCACCATCGCCGTCAACCACCCGTTGCCGCAGTCGCTGGCCGCTGCCATTTGCTTAACCGACTACTTTGTTTTCGACCTACTTCAAACTAAACAAAAAAATATAAAATCTTAAGTTTATTTTACAATGAATTAAACAACTCGAAAGTATTTCAACTATATTGTAATCATTGTACTCTGTAAATCTTTTATATTACATTTCATTTTTAGTAAACCATATGACTCCTAAATAAATTTCACTGAGTGCCTTATTGTAAATTATTGGGAGATAGATATGTAAATAAATATATAATGAGTGGTATGCATGTAAATATTCCTGCCCATTTCTACCCCGCAATCCTACCTACATTTTATTCCCACATTGGGTTGTTGGAATCTTGCTAAATTGAAAAACTCCATAAATTCTTGGAAGAGTGGTTTTATTATATAGTGCCTTGTAAATAATTAAATAAAATTTTTTTGTTTATAGAGTTTTAATTTGAGCTGACTATTTAAATAGTTAAATGAGCTGAACACAAGGCAATTCAAACAAACAAGTTTTAATAGAGTTGAACAGAACATACTATTCAAGCGCCATTTCGAACACAAGCTAAACATGAACAATAGAAAATTTGAACAAATCAAGCACGAACATGCCTTCGGCTCTCTAATCTCGGCTCTTTACACCCCTATCGTTGTTAACTTTTCACCATACACTCCATATTTTCATTTATTTTGTAACTTGTTCATTAGGAAAAATATATTTGACCATCAGTGTAAAGTTAATTGTTGCGTTTCTTATTGTGAGTTGAGATTTGATCCACTCAGAGGATGATTGATAATGTCAAGGAAAAAAACAGTCTCTTATTTTGAAGATAGACTTATCTCGAATGGATAATGCCAAAATTCTTATTTAAATTTAGTTTTTTTAAAGATAATGATATTATGTTATGATATTATAAGTTAGGATATCATAATTTTCAATATTTAAAATACTTATTTCTTAATTTTTTTTTCAAAATAAAAATATATTCTTTTTAATGTGTAGTTTGTCTGTTTGCTAAATATCATCATGCATCTTTTTCTCCCCAAACTTACAAACTAACTATATCATTTACTCTGATTCATAGTGATCTTTGATGTCTTTGTAAAACTCTTACATATTCTAAAAAATAGTTTGCAATATTTATTGATGATTACGCAACATTAAGTTAGGCTTATTTAAATAAAGAAAAATTCGAAGTGAAAGTAATTTTTAAAAACTTTTACACCATGGTCCAAACACAATTCTAAAAGCTATTCAAATATTACAAATTGATAATGATCGAAAATATTTCAAACATATTTTCGGTCAAATTTCCTTTGAAAAAGGAATAGTTCATCGAAGTTCTTGTATCAAAACTCTGTAACAAAATGTTGCGGCTGAAAAAAAAAAACACTTATTAAAAGTAGCCAGGGCATTATTATTTATCAATCACATGCCAAAGCATTTTGTTATAAATAGAACACCCAATAAGATTTAAAATTTTTGAAACACCTATTAATGTTTTTCAAAAACTTAATAAGGCGGCTCTCATCCTTTTTTTTTTTAAAGATATTTGGGTGTATTGTATTTGTTCACATTAATTGTCATTATTAAAGAAAGCTTGAATCCCAAGCCAAAAAATGTGTATTTGTTAGTTATGCTCCCACTCAAATGTGATATAAGTGTTTTGATTATATTTTTAAAAAAAGTTTGTAGTATGGATGACACATTTTTTGAGTTACAACTTTTTTTTGACTCATCTTCAAGGGGGCAAAACAAAGATTTGACTGATGTTCTTCAGAACTTTTTCCAAATAGATGATTTACAAAATAATCTCTACCTAATCTTTATTGTTCAAATTGAAAATCCAAACTATATTATATTAGGGGAAAGTGAGAGAGTATTTTAAATATCGAAGACAATTCAGGCCTTCTTATGGTGACATCTCATGATGTTCATGATCCTAGCGACTAACAAAGGAGAACATAAAAAAGAACCATGACATTGATATTATTTAATACTTTCTACTCGTGCCTTAGGGCAACTCAAATGAAAGGGTCTATAAATCCTTTGCACTACCCTTCATGTAATGTCTTCACCAAGCCTTTACCTCATTTTTCAGTCCACTTCATCTTCCATTTCCGAGTCTTTAAGTCTTGGACTTGTGTCTCGTTCTAATCCTATGTCTAATGATTCTAATCTTTATATTGTTGCTTGGAAGGGGATGAGGCCTTGCACTCAACATCCATTATCCCATTATGTAACATGAAATTCTCTCATCATTTTTTGTGCTTTTATTTCACAATTGTCTTGTATGGAGATTTCTAATACTATGCATGATGCTTTGAAATTTCTTAGTGAAAGGAGTTTTTCTTTGAGGAGATGAAATTTTTTAAAAGAATGATACTATGGAACTGATTGATCAGAGAAACTAACTGTGCGGTGCAAATGGGTGTTTACAGTCTCGATTGGTTGCTGAGGGATTCACTCATACCTATGATTTTGATTACTTATAGATATTCGCCACAGTTACAAAACAAAACTTTACAAGAGTCCTTCTGTTTACAGGTCATATTGATTGTGTATGTGAATTATATAGTTCTCACTGAAGATGATGTTTATGAGACGAACCATTTGAAAACATTCCTCTCATCAGTTTTTGAGACCATACCCTTAGGATTCAATGTATTTTCTTGGCATGGAGATTATTCTTTCAAAGAAAGTAATTTTATTTCCCAACAAAAGTATGATCTTGATCTTCTTAAGGAAATTGGGATGAGCAGATTTGGGATGAGTAGTTTAGGCCCGCTGACACTTCAATTTATCCCGATTAAAAACTGGTTGAGGGGAAGGAAAGTGATCCAATGAATTTATTTTGGTTTTAAAAATTGGTGGGAATGTTGATATATTTATCACACACACAACAAGCTATTGCTTTTGCTCTAAGTTTAATAAGTCAATTTATGCATTCACCCTATGAGAAGTTGATATGATTCTTGGTAGAAAT